TTTAACACATGAAGCTTTGACTTCACTCTTCAGAACCAGAGGTTGCCGCCTGCTTTTACCTAAATGCTTTCCTACTTTACCAAGAACATATTTCGGGGGAAATAGTATATACTCTTTGCACAGAAAAAGGTCAAGAATAAATATAATATTCAGCACAGGAAGAAAATGTTATTAAAAAGTTATTAGTAATATAACGGCAGTCATTAGTCAACTGTTGTGTGCCTATGTGAGAGAGAAATATTTTTCCTTTTACCAACCAGTAACCTGCTCATCAGTTTGATGAAGAAGCCAAAGTGGAAACCCTTCTGTCAAAGGCCTGAAAGACAGAAGCCTCCTCCTCCTCCTCCTCCTCCTTTCTCCTCCTCCTCCTTCCCCTTCCTCTTCCTCCTCTTCCTCCTTCTAGTTTTCCCGCTGGCTCTTTTGCTTTTTCCGAGCCAGCCGGGCCTCACGAATCTCCTCCAGGGTCTTACGGGGGTCCATGACGAAGGCCAGAGCCACGGCGGCGGTGCCGTCGCCGCTCTGCCGCGAGAAGCAGAGGAAGGTGGCCCAGAGGAAGGCGCAGCAGCCCATGAAGGCCGTCCGCAGGTACAACGGCATCAGGACAAAGTTCAGAAACTGTGACGGAGGGCAGAAAACAGGACGTGATATTCAACTTAAACAGATATATTGACTCTAAATGAACCATAACTTACTAAATGAACATCATGCTGTATTGAAGAAGACATAAATGTGCACAAAACAGTCGTTTGTTTTCATGTTTACCTGCATGAACGGCCAGTACATGAGTCCAGTCTGAAAGTGAAAGTAGGAAATGATGAGTGAAGACACAGACGACATCACACAATCACATGTAAATCTCTGTTCTTATCTCTAAATTATTAAAGTGTCTAAAGTGTCTCTTTAAGGTCATTTTGTATCTCTTATACTCATTTATGTCTCTTGAAGTCAACTGTTGTCTCTTTCTAGTTGTTTTGTGCCTCTTTGAGGTCAGTTAGTGTGATTTTCTGGTTGTTTTTTGTCTTTTTATGTGTTTGTGTCTCTTTGTTGTCTTTAATGTCTCCTTGTCGTTTTGTGTCTCTTTGAGGTCATTTAAAGATGTTTTCATCGTTTTGTATTTGTGGTCGTTCTGTTTCTTTGTTGTTATTTTGCATCTCTTCGTGGTCAGTGATGATTGGTTCATTCAGTAATTCATCCAAAACAGTAAACTGTTTCTTTCCACCGCTGTGAAAAATGAAACTTAATTATTTAAGATTACTGAGACAACTTTTTACACGTCAAATAAAATAAGATTTCGGACGTTATGAATGAACATTTACCAGGATCGTGACGCGTTGCACTCAATTACATCAGCATGAGGCGGTGATTTACGTTTGGCAGGATTTCAGCTCCTGAAACTCGCTGACTTTTTTTAAAAATGCGACTGTATTACCCGACCTGCTCCTGGGCGTCGTGCCCACTGCGCAGAAGCAGCATGGTGCATAATCTAGGTTAATCTGGTCGTGAGGTCGCAGCAGTGTGTGTGTGTGTGTGTGTGTGTGTGTGTGTGTGTGTGTGTGTGTGGAGGGCAAGGTGACTCACTTTTACTTCGCTTGACTATGCCGAAGCCTTACTCACCTTCCAGGTGTTGAAGAACTTGTCCCTCCAGTCTTCAAAGATGTCTTCTTTTCCCTCCAAGAAGTTCACTCCTGCAGGACATGTGGAGACGTTTACGCAGAGTTTGGGGCTGGTGTGCGCCATTACGCACGATTACAACGTGTGTTATGACTCCTCACCTTGACCCACATGATGTTTGACTTAAAATCGACCTTAACAGGAAGCTCATCACTTCACTGCTGATTGTAGATTTTACAGATGTCTAACTGATGAGACATATTTGGGTCTGTGTTTTTGCATTTTGGTGACATTGAAACAGAGATATTTTGATGTTTTTGGCATCAGATGATATTCACCTTAAACCAAACATAGAACCAGTGTGTGTCTCCACTTTAAACCAAACTCTAAATTGTCTTTGCATTGTGGATTTAGACCCGTTTACCTGTATAGAAGACGCTGGTGGCCAAAGGCGACGCGAAGCTTTGGTCCAGCAGGAGTTTGCGGAAAACCATCCCGGCGGATTTCCCGGGGAAACGCCTCTCCAGGGCTCGCAGCCAGAAGTAATTGAAGTTTCCATGGAAACTTATAGCCACGATAGCCACGTGGCGAGTGTGTTTCCAGTCCATGTGCTCCTCCTGAGCGATGAGCTGATGGACCAGGTCGCCGCCGGCGAATAAGCACCCGTACAAAGTGACGTTGGCAAGCCAGGGGAACCGTTTGGCGGCTTCTTTCAGGACAGCTCTCCTCATTTCAGAAGCTGGGAGGGGGGGGCTCCAAAAGTAATGCTGGTCCCTCAAATAGCTTCGATTCGGCAATCAAGGCGCAAGCATAGCGGTTAAAACGATCTGACTTGGCCCTGGTGTCAGTCGGACGCAATCCATCTGTGCGCGGTATAATCAGGGAGGGATTAGACGGTTCCACCGGCAGCAGGGATATCACACATTACCGGGTCTTCAGATAGCTAACGCGAAATTACAGACCCCTCCTAAAAGTTTCCCAAACACTGTCGGCTCCTGCGTAAAACCTGCCATGGCACCACTTTGGTCATTTTGGAGAGGTGCTTCTCTATTGCGTCCTAGAGATTTGTGCGTAAAGTACATCCGATCCTTTCACGCTATATTAAACAGAGAGACGATCCAGTGGACATAAATATGAAATCTAGATCATTCCGTCTGCTCTCACTCGATGTGTCGCTCCCAACAAATCCTGCGGGTCAAGCGCTAATCTGATGGATTGTCCCGGGCCGGTCCGACGTACTGCGTCACCGCGTTCAGCCAGACAGTCCACGCACTGTAGATCTGCGTTGTCCAAACCCGCAATCTGCTCTCTCTCTTCCTCTACCTCTCTCTCTCTCTTGCTGTCTCTCTCTCTCCCTTTCTCTATCTCTCTCTCTCTCTCCCTCTCCCTCGCTCTCTCTACCTCTCTCCCTCTCTCTCCCTCCCTCTCCCTCTCTCTCTCTCTCTCCCTCCCTCTCCCTCTCCCTCTCTCTCTCTCTCTCTCTCTCTCTCTCTCTCTCTCTCTCTCTCTCTCTCCCCCTCCCTCTCTCTCTCTTAGTCTCTCCCTCAGTCTCTCTCTCTCTCTGTCTCTGCAATACGCTGAATTAAATGTGAAAACGTCTCAAGGATGTTTGGGAATGGATAAGAAATGTTTTCTCTGATCCATCAAACATGGCTCTTTTAAGAATCTGGGACCTTGAATGGATGAAAGGAGCCAGAGCTTTGAGAGGCACAGTGAACACATGCTGTACCCATTACAACCACTAGAGGGCGATGTAACTCCGCATAAAGCCAATTGTCTCACCTGTTACCTGAGCAAGGAGATAAACCTGTTTACCTGTGAAGCCTCTGATTCATTGTACTTTGTGTTTCTCTCTGTGTTCTTCAGGGCTATTTGAACATCAAATGTGCACAACATGATCACTGACTTTTATTTGATTTATTGTATATTGTAGGATCAGTGATGTTATGCTACTAATTTGACTGCTTAACATTTCATCAGCTCTAATGTAAGCGGGTCGGTAGATGAGGGAGGGGAGGAAACAAAGCATATCTCAAGCCCATTGGCTGGTTTCCCTGTCCATCAAATGTTCCTCGCCTGTGATTGGCTGCTGCCCCGAAAGCCTCGGAAGTGTCATTTTTGGGACTTGAGCAAAACTTCTGCATACCGAGCGGCGGTGTGGCGGCTTCGAGCTGATTCACGACTTTTCGGGATTAAATGTTTACCAGAAAGCTGTAAAAACAGGTACGTTTGAAGACGGTTATCTACGTCACAATGGCTGCTTTCAATGTTTGAGACTGAATCGTTGTTTTGTTCCGTAGTTTGTTGTGTTTGCTCACCCGAGCATGATCACTAACGAGCCCCAACTCCTCCAAAACACAGCCGTGACGACTGTTGGAGTTGACATTTTAACGCATAAAGATGCTGCTCAGGGAACAGATTTATACGCGGAATTGATTTTAAGACTTTATAAATTGATAAAAACTAATACTTCGGTGTATGTGACGTACGTAGCTTAAAAACAGGAGATTTCTTAACGCAGTTCTCTCCACGGACCAGATCCACACACGTGCCTCCTCGTGACATTCCCACGCGAACTCATTATGTATTTATTATGCATTTCACGAGATTAAACTCATGAAGAAGACCATGGTGCTGGTGGGCGGAGGGCTAACGTGATGGAAATAACTACAGAAATACGGAAGTTGTTTTGAGCGAGTTGAGACACGTCCTGTTGTTTCTTCTAATAATTACAATAATAATAACAATAATAACAATAATAATAATGTGGGTTTTGCACGTGCGTGCATTTCATACCTCGTCTGTTAGTCAGAGCACGTGCAGCTTGAAGGAGTTGCAGCTTATTGAAATATGAAACGTGGGAAATTCAAATTGGGTTTGTTGAGCTGTAATATAATAAAACAGTTTGTGTACTTCAAATCACATACAGTTAAAGAAGGATATTAAAACACAGCAGAATAAACACAGTTCTTGTTGGATTCTGACTATAAGATGTATGGTAAACATGTAACTTTTTCTCTCCTCCTGCTTCTTTAGGACTTTGTCCCCAGAGGCAGTTGTGTATTTTTTACCCCGTAAACAGTCTGATAGGCATCATTCCATGCAGGTTGACCTAAATACGGCCTGGCTGCACATTTGCATAAAAAGAACAAAGAATACGCTTTTGTTTCGTGCCACACCCGTATCATATAAAACATATTCATACATTCATAGACAACAGGCTTTCGGACAGAAGTAGTTTGATATTATTGAGTTATTATAAACCACAGATGAAAGAGGAGCAGCGTCCTGTTTTTACACCATGAAAAGGAAAATTAACCGCTGTGGTTTTTGGTCAGTTTGTCAGCACCAGTATCTGTGTGCATCCTCACGTCAGAGTGCATAACTGCATAACTCTGCATAATGTCTGTTAGCCCTACATTTGCATTCACGTGGGTGTTAACGAGACACTGGAGAACAGTTTACTGGTTGTGTGTTCGTCAAAATGTTCTGTGAACAATGTAACTTAAAACAAAAACATTCTCTTATTGATGTATAATGTTGTGCAGTATATTGACCTGAGGATGGACGTGTCGGAGTCAGTGGAGGTCCTGGGCTTTGTTGATTAATCAATTAACCAATCAATTGCTTGTTTGTATGTCAACCGACATTTAGAAGCCCGAAGATATTCCCCTTATTTAAGAAGCTGAGACCAGCGAGGTTTTGGGCATTTTTTCACTTGAATTTTATGATAAATTGATTATTAAAATTGTCCAGTTTGAGCTCCATCTTAACTCCCTTTTTGAGGTGACTGGCGCGTTAACAAGGCTAGCAGTTTCCCTCTGCTTCCAGTCTTTGTGCTAAGCTAAGCTCAAAAAAACGTCCTGGACCTGTAACAGATGCAAAAGAAACCGAAACAATTACTTGATTTTTTTTAAATTATTTTGATTATTCAGCAACTATTTTGACCATCGATTCTTTGTTTTATATCATCGTGAAGAGAAAATCTTTTTGCACCTTTAGTCGGCCAAAACAAACAATTTATAGACGGAATTTTGGGCTTTTAGAAAGTAAGGCGATTAATCAATTGATCGAGATAATAATCTGCAGTCCTACATCAGATTCTGGAACCCAAAACGTCGTAATGTTCCTTTAACAAAGCAACATGAATCACAGGTTATGTCTCTTATCTTACTACTAAAATAAATTGGTGCATACTTGTGATATTTACACATTGAAAGGCCTGATTAGCGTCGTCATGGCCCTGTGTTCTGGATGAGCTCGTTATGGATTTGGTATTGAGATGCTAGTCGTGGTGGTCTGATGCTGGGTCACATGATGATACTGTATGTGTGACAGCAGCATGAGGCCCGACTTCCTCTTTAGATGCTGTAAAGGAAGCCGGCCGACCGCAGCAGGTTGTGTCGTTACTTTGAGCTCTGAGGAAAAACGAAAGTTTGAACCTTCATCATTTAAAGACTTTAACATCTGAAGATTCAAGTGAAATAAAGATGCATGAGATGCATTGAAGTCCCACTGAAGCAGAATATTTGAGTGGTGCAGAGTCACTTTTTACTTTGTTCTCTGCTATCAGTTTTCCAACGAGCACCGACCGGCTTTCACATCAACTCGCAGCCAAAACAACCAGAACGTGGCTGCAGAGCAGCGTTGTTCTAGTGATCTCTGATAGCGGATGCTGAGGTCACAGGAAGAAGCTTAATGAACTGACTCCATGTGACCTGCTGGACCTCGCTGGGGGTCACGTTCACTAACTCTGTTTTATATTCATCACACTGAGCGGACCGTACGCGTATCGTACTGAAGTCACTCTGAAGTCGTGTTGTTCGCTGTCTGCTGGAGGTAGGAAGTGGTTCTCTTGTTGCCACACATCCTCCGTCAGTCACAGCGCTCTGCATGCAGAGTTCTACCTCGTCGGTTATTAAGCATTAAACTCCACATTCAGTACATTCCTTCACTTTATCCTCATCCTGTTGTGTTGCAGCCTCATGCTAAATATGCTTTTAATTTATTTGTTTTGCCGTCATCAATCTAAACTCTCTATGAAACACAGTGAGTCTGTCTGTCTGGTTTCAGGTTCCACTGCGTCTCTGGTTGTGTTTTGTAAACATCCATCTCTCTCGTTGTTGGTCTCAGGAGGCGGGAGGATGTCTGTGGAGGTGGACGTGTTGCTGCAGGAGGCCAAAGAAAGCATCGAGGCGGCTCAGAACTACCGCAGCGAGCTCCAGCAGCGCCTGAATGGACTCAACCAGGCCCGCAAACAGGTAGCGCAGTCTGCTCACACAGCTGCAGGTACACACATTTAAAACAGACGGAACAAGAGCTGGACAGCGCCACCGTCTGGCTGCTTATGAAGCAAAACTCATAACTCCTTCTAGAGTTGAATTCACCTTTTGTGAAGGACAAATGTCTCATGGTTCTACAGCCAATGTTGTCTTCCTGTGATGTTCAGAGGTGGAAGAAGTATTCAGATCCTTTACTGCAGAAAGAGTACTAATACCTCGCTTAAAATACTCCACTACAAGTCAAAGCCTGCATTCAAAACCTTACTGAGATGTAGTGGAGTAAAAAGTACAATAGTTACCTCTGAGATGTAGTAAAAATAACAGTCTCTCTCTCTCACTCACTCACTCACACTCACACACACACACACACACACAATACATTTTTCTCCCTCCGCCCAATCCCAGCTGCTCCATCACACGTGATGTTTCTTTCCCAGAACACACACACACACACACACACACACACACACAGTGAGAATAAAGGAGACACCAGAATGTGTTCAGCATCTCGTCGTCTAAACAAACACTATTTTTTTCCACCAACCCCAAAATATTGATCAATGACAGTCGCCAGGAAGTGATGCTTTGTCTCCACTGGAAAAGTCCAAACACACACACACACACACACAAAGTACAGTGTGTGTGTGTGTCTGTGTGTTCTTGTCAGTACTCTTTATCAGTGCAGCAGTTGTCAATCAGCCTTCCGTTTCCTGCTATCTCTCTATCGCTGCCTCTGTGCACTCATTGTGTAATACGTGTGTGTGTGTGTATGTGTGTTGTGTAGTGTATAAAAGTGTTTTCTACAAAGAGGAACTGAAACATGACCTCGACCGCTGATGACAATCTGCAAGCTTCCTGACAAGCTACTCGTCAGAGAGAGTAGTCTGTGTATGATATAAGGAAGAGTAGTAGTAGTCGTCGTCGTAGTAGTAGTAGGTGTAGTGGTCGTGGTAGTAATTGTTGTAGGAGTATATACAGTTGTGTGAAAAAGTGTTTGCCCCCTTCCTGATTTCATATTTTTTTGCATGTTTGTCACACTTAAATGTAAGTTAAACTTTTGTCTCGTCAGTCCACAGAGTATTTTCCCAAAAGTCTTGGGGATCATCAAGATGTTTTCTGGCAAAACTGAGACGAGCCTTTATGTTCTTTTTGCTCAGCAGTGGTTTTCGTCTTGGAACTCTGCCATGCAGGCCATTTTTGCCCAGTCTCTTTCTTATGGTGGAGTCATGAACACTGACCTTAATTGAGGCAAGTGAGGCCTGCAGTTCTTTGGATGTTGTTCTGGGGTCTTTTGTGACCTCTTGGATGAGTCGTCGCTGCGCTCTTGGGGTAATTTTGGTCGGCCGGCCACTCCTGGGAAGGTTCACCACTGTTCCATGTTTTCGCCATTTGTGGATAATGGCTCTCACTGTGGTTCGCTGGAGTCCCAAAGCTTTAGAAATGGCTTTGTAACCTTTTCCAGACTGATAGATCTCAATTACTTCGTTTCTCATTTGTTCCTGAATTTCTTTGGATCGCAGCATGATGTCTAGCTTTTGAGGATCTTTTGGTCTACCTCACTTTGTCAGGCAGGTCCTATTTAAGTGATTTCTTGATTGAGAACAGGTGTGGCAGTAATCAGGCCTGGGTGTGGCTAGAGAAATTGAACTCAGCTTTCCAAAGATTTGATAAACCACAGTTAATTTATGTTTTAACAGGGGGGGGGGGGCAATCACTTTTTCACACAGGGCCATGTAGGTTTGGATTTTTTTTTCCCCCTTAATAATAAAAACTTTAATTTAAAAACTGCATTTTGTGTTTACTTGTGTTATCTTTGTCTAATATTTAAATTTGTTTGATGATCTGAAACATTTAAGTGTGACAAACGAATAAGAAAAAAATAAGAAATCGGGAAGGGGGCAAACACTTTTTCACACAACTGTATATGAACATAAAGAACAATAACAATGGATTTGAGATATTCGTGCAGAATGGTGGTAATAGTGCAGTGTGTCTGGTTAATTGTTCATCAGACTGACGGCCAGTGGAAAGAAGCTGTTATGAAGGGTTTAAAGTTGCATAGATGAACGTAACCTTCTTCTTCCCTTCTCACCTTGTGTCCTCTGTCCTCCAGGTGCGGGGCAGCTCGGGTCAGGCCCGCGAGGCCCTGCGGCGCCACTTCACGGAGCTGCAGTCGGCGGCGAGCCGTCTGCTGTCGGAGCGTCTGGCCGACCTGCTGGCCGAGGTGGACGCCATCGAGGCGGACAGCGTCAAACCGCTGGACGACTGCCAGAGCCTCATCGAGCACGGCGTGGGCCAGGCCGACGAGCTGCTGAGAGAAGGTGACGCTCCGCCAAACACAGACGCCATCGAGGGATTGATTGTTTTGCTCTTGTGTGATAATAGAATGTAATAATTGAGGGTTTGGGCATTCATAGACGACATTTTGACATTTGTTTTAGGCTAAATGGTAAATAATCAACAATGAAAATACTCATTAGATGCATTTATTACTTCTGATTATAACGTCAGTCAGATCAGATCATCATGCATGTTTTACATATAATAAATGATAATACCGTCCTCCATGTGTTAGTTATTTAAATACGGTCTCCGTCTCTCCAGGGGAAGCAGCTCTGCGTTGTGGTCTCGGGGAGAAGGAGGACCAACTGGGCAGCTTCACCAAGAAGGCCATGCACATCCAACTGGACAGGTGGGACAGAGACGCTAGTGCTCTTATCAATATTCTTATCAATACTCTTATCAATGCTCTTTATCGCAGCAATACAAGAAGTTTCAAAATCTTTGACGAGGACGTCTCACTCCACAACTAAGAAAGTACCGATAGAAGAACCGATAGCTCTGAACCTCATGTAGAACCAGGTTTCAGGGCGGCATCTTAAACAGAGACCGACTCTAACAAACAAACGTGCAATAACATTCAGATTCTGGTTCTTTATGTGTTTTCCAGCCTTCCGGAGGTGCCGGCGCTGGTGGACGTTCCGTGTGTTTCCGCCCAGCTGGACGACTCCCTGCTGGGTCTCCTGAGGGACCGGGTGTCCCAACTTGGCTCTGTCTCCTCCCACCCGCCGGTCCAGATAGAAGAGCTGCAGGAGAGACCGGGCAGCGTCCTGGTGCGCTGGTGTAAGGTCAGCACGCCGTAAACACACAGAACACACTCTTAATGATGCAAATGTCATTATTATTATTATTATTATTATTACTATTATTTATTATTATCATTATTACTGCATCAGGTGGACGAGGACTTTGCAGCAGCAGATTACCGGCTGCAGCACCGGCGCTCCGGCAGCGGGGGGGCTCAGTACGAGGACGCCTTCATCGGTCGGGACTGTGAGTTCCTGGTGCTGCACCTCGACCCGCACACCGACTACCTGTTCAGGGTCTGCGCCCGCGGGGAGGGTCGAACCGAGTGGAGCCCCTGGAGCACCCCGCAGACGGGGTACACCACCCTCGCGCCGCACGGTAGGGGAAGATTTAGAGGTGCTGCTCGGGGGAGGGGGGGGGGGAATACACACGAGTCGCCTCTCTGAGGTATTATATCGTCTGGTATTCGTTTATCTGTCCTGTTTAGAAAACAGTTAAAACATATATTTTTATTCCTCCACGCCGGTGATATTCGTTTCTTTCCGGTTGTCCGTCTGGTAAACATCCACCTGGACTCAACGATCAAGACGTTCAAGAATGAATATGTTAATTATGACAAGTTCACACAAAAGCCTCGTAGGATAAAAAGGACAGACATGGATATAAAACATGCAACATGACACGAAGAGGCACATTTACATAAATTAATTGCGGCTTCATACAGTGAACGTGAACGAAATGACACTGAAGAATTCTTGCATTTCTGGACATTGTATCTTTTGTTGTTGGTGTTTTGTTGCACCTTCTACTTTCAAATTATAAAAGTTTAAAAGTAAACAAAAAGACTAGAAGTAAAAGTCTTTAAACTTTAAAACACACTTCGGAGGCGTAATTTTGCATCATAGCATCATATTTTCAAGGGTCCCAGTGGCTGTACATTGAATGTTACGACGTTTTTTTTACCAATAAGTGTGTGTGTGTGTGTGTGTGTGTGTGTGTGTGTGTGTGTGTGTGTGTGTTTTGTCTGGTGATCTGCAGAGTGGTGTCCGGGCTCTGAGGGCTACATCCTGAGCAGCAGGAGAAACATCGCTCTGCGCAGTGACTCCGCCCACTCGCGCTGCCCCGTCCTCTACTCCAACGCACCCACCTACTTCTGTGGCCAGACGCTCACCTTCAAGTACGCACAAACACACAAAACACACTCGGATACGTCATATAGATCGTAGATTCTTTTGGATTTGGGTTTTTACAGTAATATAACGTGTGTGTGTGTGTGTGTGTGCAGGATGTCAGCAGCAGGTCAGATGGATCGGAGGGACAGTCTGGGTGTGTGTGTGGACAGCAGGAGAGGAGCCGACTCCCTTCAGAGAGACCAGGCCGTCTGCATTTCCACCAACGGTACGCTGACACACATAATGTCCCTTTATTTATTGATTAGATCTTTTGAAGGAGTAAAGATGGTTATAGTCTTTAGCTTTGACAACAAATCTGCTGAACTAAGTTTGATATTAAGTTCCAGAGTAAAGTCAACAGTAAGAGGTTTTATGCAGGTCTTCCTCTAAAGAAATGACAGCTGAGACGCTTTGGTTGCTTCTTGTTGGGTTACAGATACGGATGTGAAAATGTCGTACTTTGCTCTGGATGAAGCGCGAAGGTCTGTGTGGATGACTCGATTTTGTGGACGAGGAAACATCTCGCTTTGTTTCATATTAGTTTCACATGAGGTCACCATGAAGGTCTCAATACATACACAATGAGACCACAACGTACTCATAATGAAACACTTTTCATCGTGTCTTTGTGGTTCGGCTGGTTGTTCATCCCTCCTCCGCTGTGATTGGACGGCTGGGTGGAAAGTGACTAAACCTAACTGAGCTGTGATCACGTAACGAGCGGAAAGTGACACACCTTTTAGTAAGATGTCGTACGAACCGCTGTATCAGGATACGCTGATGCTTCAGCTTCAGTACGTCTGTGAACGAGAAGATGAAACGTGTTTTTACTGAAGTAACGGCAGCATTCTAGGTAGAACAGACATGGGATCACTTTAAGGGATCACAGCTTTTTAAAAGATACCCGCTTCAGTAAACATGGATGTTTTCTGTGGAAGGAAATGCTTTCAACATGAACTGTTTGCTTACTCTGCAGAGCGTCTTCAACTCCACGTCGTCATTATCTCGTATCTTCTTAAGACGTAACTCATAAAAGTTTATGATCAAACCGAGCTGCACAGCTTCTTATTCTGCACGGTGTTTCAGAGAGAAACGTTCTACTTTTTACTCCACTAACTTATCAAAGTTACGTCACAGAAGCTAATCACTGAGCTAATCGTTTAGCTGAGAATGTATCTAAGAACTTTGTTTCATTGCTGCTCAAGAAAACCTTTTTGATGACAAAGAATATCGATTATTTTCTTAATTAATTGTCTTTCTTTTTCTTACAATTAATCAAAAAGAACCAATAAGAGTATCGATACGGAGCCGGACCGATCCCTGTCCGTAGTAACAGGTGTGTGTGTGTGTGTGTGTGTGTGTGTGTCCCTCAGGAGCCGTGTTCGTGAACGGTAAAGAGATGACCAACCAGCTGCCGGCCGTGGCGCTGGGCTCCTCCGTGACCTTTGACATGGAGGTGGTGAACCTGTTCCCCGTCAGCAACAACCTGAGCGAGGGGGGGGGCCACTTCAAGCTGAGGGTCACCATCGGCTCCGGGAGCCGCGAGGTGGTGTTTGATTGGCTGGTGGACCAGGCGGTGGACTGCCTCTTCTTCGGCTGCTCGTTCGTCCACTCCGGCTGGAAAGTTCTGGTGTTTTAACGGATCCTTTTTGAATCTGCTGGAGTTTTCTCTTCTGTTGTTTTGTTGAGTCTGGAAATAATCCGTCGTTTCCTCCCACAGTGTAGACTTCCAGGAGCTTCACACAGTATTTGTCCGTAATTCACTGGTCCGGGTTTTTCTACGCAACCGGGAAAAACCCTGGAAAATCTGGGGCAAAGTCGAGCAGCATGTCCTGAAAAACAGTTTACCGACTTCACCAGATCTCGATGAGAAAGAGAAGTAAAGAGAACAGATTAAACTGAAATGAGCTGCTGCTATCACCAGCTTCACTTCAGCAGAGATTCAGCATGTTTCTGAAGTAATCTGGTTTCTGTGATCGCGGTACACAACCGATTCCTCCTGGAAGTATTTTGGCCATTTTAGATAAAAGATGAATAACAAAGCTGTGAGAAGAGGGTTCATATTTCAAGGAAAAAAAACTGAATCTCACAGATGAAAATCGTTAATTTACATGAAGGAAAACGTGGACGTTCGTTGTCGATTTGTGGACAAAAAATCTAATTGAGAAAAAAGTTGTACGGCCAAGATGCATATAAGCGTTTTATTTTATGGACATAAACAACTACGAATATAATTGATCACTTTTGCATCTAAATTTGTGACTTCAATCTCTCTGAATATTACGCCCTCCCCGGACTCCAGGGATTATTTTGTTATTAATATTTAACTTTTTAATATTCTAATTTTTAACTTCCAATGAGCCTAAAACGCCATCGAACGTTCGTGACATCATCTTTCCAGACACTGTGTTGACCAATCAAATCCATGGAAGTGTGGATTCTCGCTGGATGACTCTCTAATGTAAACGTATTTCTCGTGTTTTTTAAACAGTTTTTTTGAATAATTCTTCGTGAAATAACGAAGCCGCTCACACTTCTCTCATCCAGGGGTTTTAGGAGGTGTGTTTCCTGATTCCTCTGAGCCACTTGTTTCCTCGTGTGAATGTAAACGTACCGGCTCTCTGGGAGGAAATGTGATCGATTGATTCCAGACTCTTTTGTCAGTGTTTTTGATCTTTTCCACGTGAACCGACGGATCGTCTGGGCTTTTACTTTTGAACTCTCGGGGCCTCCTTACGATGTCGGCTTTTGTTTACAGCTCCGTTGTTGTTTTTTAACCTCCTCTCTGTGAGGAAGACTTTTAGGAACAGTTTGACACTTTGTAGATGAAAAACACAAGATAAGTTTTTATCTTTTAGTTTAGAGCAGCAGGAAAAACAGAGACAGACACAATCTGCTAAACCTGCTGCTCTTTTTTTTATTTGTATTTGTTTTAACTCGTCACTGTGAAAGTCAACTCGTGTTTTACTTTTAAAGGGACAGTTCACCATCAAACACAAACCTGTCTCAGTTAGGGTGTGTTCAGATTTAAAGGGACAGTACGTGTGTTGGTATGATGTACTTCTACACAGTCAGAGTTTTACTACAGTAGATGGAGCAAAGTAAAGTGCTGCTGTGGACGTATTTTAGACTCCTTAAAGGATCAATATCAGTTGAAGTGAACGCTGTATTTAGAATGTTTTCACCTCTTTACCTTGATGACGGGGAGCTGAAGCTGTTATCTATGATCTCTACAAACACACCAGACTCCATTCACTGAAACAGTGATTTAACAGAACACAGGAGCTGCTGGTCTGCTGCCTCCGTCTCAGTGTGTTTGTGTTGTTGTGACTTTAGTGTTTTTAAGGGTTCGTTCAGATTCACCAAGTTACACAAACGCACTAACCGATGGAGGCAGCGGTAGACGAGCAACGAGTGTGCTGAGAGGTAGAATCCCTGTTTTTGTGAATGGAGTCTGGTGTCTTTGAAGAGGGCAAAGCTCCATCTACTGCAGTAATACGCTGACTGTGAAGAAGTACTTGTACACATCCAGACTATCCCTTTAAACGACACAAAGATGCTGAAAAAGATGAAATTGTCTCCGCTTGTTTCGTTGCTCGTGTTTGTTTTCCCGGTGATCTCACTTTTCCACCACTTCCTGCTTCAGATAGTTTCTCTTGCTGACCGGCATGTGACACTGTGACTCGTCTGACGTCTGAGCCAATCAGAAGCTTGAGAGATGTTGTAGCCAACCACAGCAGAGGCCTAACCTGAAGACGTCCCTCTGACTCGCTAGAACGAGCTTTGAGCTCCTCCAAAACTCTGAAAAACACTTAAAAGCAATGTTTCCAAATCAAACGCACCGTTACCTTTTATTAAAATGAATTATATCTATAGGTTTGAAAACTGTTGAACCATTTGGGATAATAATAAGTACACAACTTAACGGCATATATAGCATTTTAATTCTAAAAGTTACATATCAGACCTTTAAAGTGGGTCTGAAACTAAACTCTTAGATATTTTTCTGCCTTCCTAAAGATAAAACTGCTGATTAGTTCAAAAGAATTGAAAGATTATCTTTTATTCTACTTAGGAGGAGACTTTGTTCTTGAGTTTTACAGTTTTTATATCCAGGCTGAAGATGTGAACCTTAGTTTTTTTTGGCTGAACTGTCTCCTTTTTAAACTATTCAAGCTGTTACGTTGAATTATTTGTGTGTCGCCAATCATTAACAGTATTTACGTGAAGCTCATTGATGAAGCTCATTGATGAAGCTGAGAGGAATTAATCATCCCTGCTGTTCAGATCAGACAGGAAGTCACACTTCTTCTTCTTTGGTTTTAAACTCATTTTGTGGAATATGTTAACAGTTTAAAACTAAAACGAGAAGTTGAGTTTATCATTTCTTAATGTCTCATACTGTTTGTTGCCATCCAGCTACCATTGTTTTGATACATCCTTTTATACCGATAAAATGTTAGAAATTAGAGTTAAAGTTGACGTCTTCAAATGTCTCATTTTGTCAATCCAGCATAAACAAATGCTAAATATTCTATTAACAATGATATCAAAGAGAACTGCAGCTCCGTTATCAATATCCTGTTCTGCCCTCATCAGTAAAGTCGTCTTGTTTTAAAGGAATAGTTTGACGTATTGTGACGTAAACATTTTTCATTCCTGTTTTTGTACAAATAAAACAAACAAGATGCAACGTGTCTTTTTTTCCTTTGGACTGAGCCAGGTTAACGTTTCCCCCTGTTTCCAGTCTTTATGCTAAGCTAAGCTAATCGCCTCCGGCTCCAGCTCTGTATTTGACAGACGCACATGAGATTGGTGTCGATCTTCTCGTTTCACTCTCGGGCAAGAAAGCAAATAAGTTTATTCCCCAAAATACGACTGTTCCTTTAAAGTTATTGTTATTTTGTTTGCTGAGGTTCATCAGGATGTCTGCTGTCTGGTTTATTCATTTATATTCCTGGTCTGTCTGGAGGAGTGAAGGTCTTTAACAATGATGCTGCAGCGTCATCACTTATTTTTGACAAATCTTTTTCTAACAATTCTTAATGTCTTCACAACATTTTCAGCTTTTCTGAATCCATAAATACATATTTGTTGTTCCTGCTGCTCTCTCTCTCTCTATGTATAGATATATATAAAGGGTTTAGTCTCTCCAGCTCTCTCTGACTTTGGGACGGCTGTCAATATGGCTGCGCAGAACAACTTCCGGTTCAAGCGAGGATCAAGGAGCGAGAAAATGACAATTAAGAGACTTGAGATGTACCCATTGACTGAATGAGCACAGCCCTACAGAGAACATGTTCCACCAGCCAACACTGAATATCAGCTCAGTGAGTCAGTTGATACGATATAAATTAACTAAAATACATTTTAAAAATGTAGTAAAATAATTTAGTAAAATCAACAAATAAAACTAAAACAGAAAAGCGACGTCACATGACAGCCATCATGTAAAACTGTTTTTAGAAGTGATTTAAAAGAGATTGCTGATCTCCATCATGGATCATCATCAATGATCGACAATTAGGATCGGTGGCAGAAAAAACGTGATCAGGGAATTTCCCAAAAGTGTGTGAACCTTGAGTTTCATAATCTGTTGCACCTGTATAGAATAATACAAGGTGATGAGGAAATGGCAGTAGAAATGGTCAGGAACGTTCATTCGCGTTCAGATTTGCTCTTTTCAGGTGAAGGCCATGTTATAGTGGGTCACCTAGAAAATAAGAAAAGTTATGAAACACTGCATATGAACCATGTCAGCTGCTGGATCAGCCCCCTTTAGTCCACAATACCAGGACTTTGTCCCCATCATCGTGATTCCAAGTCAATACATTATGCAACGATGAGTTCAGGGACATTTAAAGTTTAGTTTCCCACATGTTTTGTTCCACAACTGTTCCATCTGCTCATCAGACCTCAGCTCTACTCAACCCTTGCGTTTTTTATGCGTTTTAATGCGTTTGTTTTAATTATGCGTGTGAATTCCGCTTGATGCCTGTCCTGCCTTGTTTGTTCTTATCTGAGCCTCAGTGCGTTGCTTCCCAATTAAAAAGTCACTACGGTTGCTGTAATGCTTGTTCTGACGCGTGCCATAAATAACAATGTCCAGTTTCGAATATAGGCATTTTAGTTCTCACATAATCAGAGTTCACCACTTTCTCTTCACTTATCCATTTTCTCCATAAACCAATAAATCATAACATTTGCATTCGTTAAATCTGCACGGTGAAAAACTGTTTGCTTCTACCTATTAGCAACAACCTGTGCAACAAACTGGCTCTTACACTCAGTAAAACTTAGATTTTTGCATCTTTATTCTCTGGTCCTGTGATCACTGCACATGAGTCGTACTTTGTTCATCACAGCATTCAACTTCACATTGTCTCCTTTTTCTTCTGCAGGTTTGTTCAGACAAATGAGACTTTCAGCCATCCTCTTCCTCGTCTCCACGCTGGTGGGCGGTAAGCCTTCGTGTCTTTCTGTGCATATCTGTGTGTGTGTGTGTAGTACAGATACAGGAGATCATTCCTGCAATCAGACTTTGTAATAAATCGCCTCTGGCCAAATCAATCACAGAACTATAACTCCGTTACACTGTTGTTTGTTTGTTTGGTTAAATCTTTGCACTATTGTTTAGTTGGTTTATTTTAATATTATTCTATTTCATTATATATATATTGTGTGAAATAGTTTTTTTTTTTAATTGATTAATAAATAATAATAAATAAAGTGAAAGATGATTTACTTGCGCACCTAAAACTGTCCTTAGGTGGACGCCTGGTCTCAGCGGTCATCCTGTTCGCGTACCGGACGTAGGACTTTGACGAGCTGAATGCGTGGCGCGATTTGGACGGCAGGTAGTCACGAAAACACGCTGATATTCTGTGTTTACTGATCAGAGTCCAATCAGTTCCACCATTTTCAGGCCAAAAATACCACTCAAGCTACTACCACTACTACTCAAAACCCTGGGCGACTACCACCGCTACCACAAAACACCATTTTTGGTAGTTTTGTGGTAGCGGTTTGCTAACAATACTACTGTTTTATATCTACAAACAGTTAATACTCATAAAAAGAACAATTTCATGTCAATATTTATACAACTATAATGTTACATTACCACATTATCTTTGCATTGCTAAACCCTCTCATGAATCGTGTGCTCAGGTTGTCCTTCTACATGAGCGGGGACGGTGTTTTTTTCGACGTGCCTCAGCTCGGCACCCTGCAGACCCACCTGTGCTTCACCTAAAATATTGCATTATTATTCATGCTCACCTAACATATATGTGTTACACAG